CAGGGTTACTTTTGACCCTGCCGCTCTGCTACCTGCAGTGAGGAGAGACTTGGCGCCGTAGGATGGAACGGAGGGGGACTGGCCGGCTGCAGATTTACTTGTCATCTCGGCGACATCGCCAAGATGACATGTAAACGAACAATCGGCTTCCTCATTGCGGGCGCCGGCGCCTGCAACATCCCCACAAGGACACCGCTGCCGACACCGCTGGTAACCAATTGCAGGTTTCGATTGTTTTGGCTAACATGCCACTAATAACATCATTGCAAAATTGTAGGAATTTAGTTTGTTGGAAAAATTACTGTGACACAGGAACTAAATTATGTTTTGGAGATGATAATCTGTGTTTTTTTTTTTTTTTTTTTTTAATTCATGCTCCTAAGCTACACATTTGATGATCATAAAGAAATTCTGTAGCCGTTGCTACTGTGCCCGGTTTTAGCTGATGTCCTTAACATCTTTCCTTTTCAGGTTCTTGAAAACTCAGAAGGTACCAGAACAACTCCTTCTGTTGTTGCCTTTTCAGCAGATGGGGAGCGACTAGTTGGAATGCCAGCAAAGAGACAAGCAGTGACTAATCCCAACAACACATTTTATGCTACAAAACGTCTTATTGGTCGTCGCTTTAATGATGCTGAAGTGCAAAAAGATATGTAAGTATCCTTAAAGCAATTGGTTAGAGATATTGGATCCAAAGTGAGTTTACTCGTAGCATACAGTAGCTCTTGGATTGGACTTTGGCCAGCCTTTACTCCCCATGTGCATCAATAAGCCTTGCCCACCATGACCCTGTACCCGGTTCACCGGTTTTCCTTCCTTGGACCACTTTTGGTAGGGCCCTTTAGTACCAATAGAGCAACGTTTAAATCCCGCTGCCTGAGTATTGTTGCCGACCATAGCCATCCTTTTTATGACCGCAGCGTACCCATCTTCTGATGGCTACTTCCAGAAGGATAATGCGCCATGCCCACAAAGCTAAAGTCAACTCAAACTGGTTTCTTGAACGTGAGTTCACTGTACCCAAATGGCCTCTACGGTCACCAGATTTCAATCCAATAGAACACATTTGGCATGTGGTGGAATGGGAGATATGCAACATGCATGTGCAGCTGACCAGATCTGTAGGGCTGCAACTAACTATTATTTTCATAATCGATTTTAGTTGGCAGATTTTTTTTTTTTTTTTTAGATTAATTGGCTAAAAATTATTATTTTTGTATGTAAAATGTTTTAGTTTATTGGCAAACATTAGTAATTTAACTGTTTTGTTTAAATATTAAAGTGGACCTTTTACCCCCTTTTGCTAAAAATCACATCTGCATGCAGCTCTGCATGCTGATTTTAAAATCATCTTACATTCATTTAACTTGGTATTTCATTTTACTTAAGAATAGTTAATATTTTCTTTGTCTAGTTACGGCACAAATTAAGTGCCAAAGCGTTGAATCTTGGGAAGGTTACATCAGCAAAGCATTGCTGGGAATTCTTATCTGTAATTTCCCGAGATCTCTGGGAAAGGCATTTTCCTCCCCTGAGATGTACATGATCACATGTCCTAGTCATATGTGCCAGAGTTCCGGGAAGTAAATGGAGAGCTAGTTATCTGCCCTTAACATGGCCATTTTCAGAAGACTGGGAAATAAAAATAAGGTATGCAAAGAATAAAAAGCCAGCAACTATCTAGAAGTATGTGTTTGTAGATTGCCTGATGCGCGGATTCATACGTGAGCGCTGGAGAGGCTATTGTTGGACAAACTGAATGCAAAGCTCCATGCACCGCCGCTTGCATGTGCAGTGCATCACAGGCTTAATATTCGCTCCCCCCCCCCTTTGTGTCCGGGGCAGCCGCACAGTCTTACCCCCCAGTTATGCCATTGATTCCACTTACTGTACACACAGCACACATACAACACATAATACGCGCACATACAGCACACTACTGTTCTCTCCCATTCATTGAAGGACACAGGGCAACAGATCGTAGATACTGTATGGTAGGGTATATCGCCACCTGCAGGAGTAGGACGCTAGGCACATAACAAAAGACAAAGCCAGCCTAGGGGCGGCCCCTGCTGGTGGCCAAACCCCCCACCTGCTGACAAGTCTCCAGTTTTTTGCCTAGCGTCAGGAGTAAGGAGCTAAGAATTTTTTCTCTGGGATTCTTCTCTTTTTCTTCGTTTTTTTTGGTTGAATCTTCAAGCAATTGCCGGCTGGGTGACACGCTGGATGTGCATAGATCCTTGTAGTCCGACCCAGTCTGGCCTACGTGCGTATGCAGACTCTGCTCCGGTGGGTCGGCTGCGCTAACTCGATCTCAGAGTGGCCTGTGGGAGTCTTCCCAGAGGGGTGCATATGACTGGGGGTCTCGGCTGCCCAGTCACAGTACCCTTCACAGCTGGCGGCGCCCCGGCTACGGTCAGGTGGCGTTTCGTCATCCCTGCTGGACCCTGAATTTGGTGCGGTTGTGTTCTGCATTGACGCTCCCAGTTTACTGGTGCGATACTTCCCAGGGTTTTCTCCTGCGTCCCCTAGGAGGTGAGTATGCTGGACTGGGGGTCTGTCGGAGCCCAGTGCAGGGTGACTTGTGCTGTGGCCATTGAACAGTCTGGGCCTGTTGCAGTGGTTGTCACTGGCTCACCGCTGTTGTGCCTGTGGTGGGGCCGCTTCTGCGGCCCGCGGCAACTGATTTTGTCCCTGGTTTTGTGACCTAGGGGGGCCGTGGAGTTTTCCTCGCTGGGTGCTGCACCCTGAGATGGAGGATGGCTGGTCCGGGACAGCGCCGCTGGACAGCGGGGTGCCACCTCCGCACTGGTGGTGGCTGCAAGTGCGGCCGGAAAAATTTTAGTCCCCGGTTGTTGCGGCCTAGCGTGGCATGTGTGGTAGGCCCCCTCCTTGGGGCCTTGGCTTGGGCAGTTGGTGCCGGTCCGCTGGGGCCGCAGTGCTGAGAGGCGGATTACCGCCGTGGGCCACGTGTGTGACCCGAGGCCGAAAATTTAGTCCCCGGCTTTTGTGGAGCCGCGGTACTAGAGGGCGGATTACCGCGATGTGGGCCGCGTTTAACCCGCGGCCGGAAATTTAGTCCCCGGCTTGCGGCCTAGCAGATCGGCCACTTTTTGCTCCCTGGGAGGGCTTTCTGCTGGGGGTTCCGGTCCGTTGCGGACCAAGGTGAGGTGGCAGGACTCCACAGTCTCCAGGGGTGACCTGTATGTGCCGGTAATGGCCCCCAAATCTAGTCCCCGGCCTTGCGGCCTGGTGGAGCATGGGCGGCCGCCATTTTGGTTTTGGGCAGCTGCCCTAACTGTTGGTGTAGCTTCCCCATTTGCGCCCTGAGGGGCTCTGGGGGCATGGTGGGGTGGTCCTGTCTGCCCTGGAAGGGCCAGACCTGCTGCAGGCCGCGGGGCTTGTCAGCTGTTTACTGGGTCACTCTGCCTGGTGCTGGGGAGTGTTTGGACGCCATACTGGGGCGTGAGTACACGTTGCTGGGTGGTCTCCGGGACGCATTCCTGGAGGGTGCTGCGGTTTTGGGAGCGCGAGCACGAAACTACCTCCGGGGCCGCTTCTGTCCTTGTCCCACGACGTGGCCTTTTTGGTTGCCATCGCTTCCGTTCGGGTGTCTGAGTTGGTTGCCTTGTCCTGCAAGTCACCTTTTGCTTGTTCTTAATGGGGACGACGCTGTTCTACGTCCTCGGCCGGCATTTCTGCCTGGGGTTGTGTCGGCATTCCGTCTGGGTGAGGACGTTGCCTTACCTTCTCTGTGCCCGAAGCCGGTTCATAGTCGGGATGGAACGCTGGCCTGTTTGGCTGGGGTTCGCGCTCTTCGTGTTTTTATTTGGAAGCTGCGGCTTCTTTCTGTGAGTTGGATTCCTGGTTCTTGCTTCCGGGGGGCCCTCGTGAGGGTCGGGCCGTGTCGGCGGCTACCGTTGCTCAGTGGATCATAATGTTGTTGTTCAGGCGTACGCCTTTAAGGGGCGTGAGCCTACATTTTCCTGTCACTGCCCTTTTTACTAGGGCTGTTGGGGCATCTTGGGCCTTCCGCCATGGTGCCTCTGTTTCTCAGGTTGTGAGGCCGCTACTTGGTCTTCCATCCACGACTTTGTTTGGTTTTATTGGGTGGATGTTTCGGCATCGGCGGATGCTGGGTTGGGGCGCAAAGTATTGCAAGCGGCTCCTTGAGGGGTCTTTTCTGGTTTTTTAGTTGTTTTGCCCATCCCTCAGTGTGTTACTGCTTGGTGACGTCCCTACCATACAGGATCTACGATCTGTTGCCCTGTGTCCTTCAATGAACGGGAGAGAAAATAGGATTTTTGTACTCACCGTAAAATCCTTTTCTCTCCGTTCATTGAAGGACACAGGTCCCGCCCTTTAAATTGGGGGTGTACTCCTAACTGCTTGTTACTTACTGGAGACTTGTCAGCAGGTGGGGGGTTTGGCCACCAGCAGGGGCCGCCCCTAGGCTTTCTTTGGCTTTTGTTATGTGCCTAGCGTCCTACTCCTGCAGGTGGCGATATACCCTACCATACAGGATCTACGATCTGTTGCCCTGTGTCCTTCAATGAACTGAGAGAAAATGATTTTGCGGTGAGTACAAAAATCCTATTTTTTCCAGTTGTACATCTCTATTCATCCCGTCCACTGAGCAGCGAGGAAAGAAGGCGGCTGAGACTTGGGGGAGGCCGTGGGCCGTTGCTGAACAGTCCGCTCCTGGTTCGGGGTAAATTGCACTATATTGTGGCCTCACCTGGACCCCAGCACTTTCCCTGGGATGGCCCAGCCTTTCAATAATAAGCATGTCAGTGATCTGGGGAGGGAGTGAGTGAGGGTGCAAGCAGTCCAACTAATCCATAGTGAAAATTGTTGGCAACAATTTTCATTATTGATTATCGACTTTGTCGATGTATCAGCCCTACAAATATGCAGCAACTGCGTAATGCTATCATGTCAATAGGAACCCAACTCTCTACGGAATGTTTCCAGCACCTTGTTGAAACTTTGCCACAAAGAATTAAGGCAGTACTAAAGACAAAAGAGGGTACCAGCAAGGTGTAACTAATAAAGTGGCCAGTGTGTTTAGCTAAGCAAATAGGAAAGAGCCTTACATTGGATAATGAGTCTAGGTTCAGCAACCCTATGTCCCCCCCAAAAAAACGAGCTGCCTACCTGAATATACTGAATGACCAGATTTTTCCATCAATGGAATTTTTTTCTTCCCTGATGGCATGGGCATATTCCAAGATGACAACGCCACGATTCATTGGGCTCAGATTGTGACTGGTTCAGGGAGCATGAGATGACATTTTCACACATGTATCTGTAAAAAATAAGTCAAGGCAACTGGACTTGCTGTATTTTTCTTGAAGACGTTTCATTGGACATCCAACTTTCTCAATTCAGAAAAAATTATCTGGGAATAAATATGGTGAATTTCGCTCCAATCCACATAATCTGTTAGTCACAAAGTCACAACCTGCGTTGATTGCATTTGCATAATTGGAGTCTAGGAGATGTTATTACCCTGCCCAGAGAGGTGTTAAAAAAGCATTGTATGTGGCAGACAATAGATCTCACCCCCCCACCCCCCCCCCTCATCCAACC